ATTTAACATTGTTGCCGTTAGCTCTCAGTTCAATTTGTATATGAGTTACTTTCAATTGAAAATTATTATACTATAGTTTTTCTTCCTGGATATGAGTAATAATATCGTAGTAAACGCTCGAACTTGTTTTCCAGCCATTCACACCATTAGAGTTTTTTTGTAACAGTAGACTGATGTGGAAAAGATGAATTGTGTCATATTGGGAGAAATTTTCGAACAATAGCCATACATCCATCACGTGCCATTTCGTAGAATTTTTCATGTCAAGACCCCAATCAATGAAACGACTCTATCAATAATGTTCGGAGGAACAGGTCAGGAGAGAAATAGCAGTTCAATTACTTGATATATGTTTTTTCCAACAAATTCTGGCATTACTGAATTGAGTAGACCTTTCCACTGACATTGAGATAATTGCATAGGTGAACACTACCATTTTTTTCAGTAGTATCATAAAGAATTCAAAATATCAGTTGGGAATTTCCAGAATCCAATTGGGACAATCGTTTGATCATCCTGTATAAACATAGTGAAACCAAATTCAATATTTGACAGTTCGATTGAGGAATAAAATTGAAGGAATTAATTTTAATTAATGAAAGTGAGACATTGGCGATGGAAATGTAAAAAAAAAGAAATTCAATGGATAGTAATCAAACTAGAAGCGAAATTACTTTTTCTGAGCGTTTAAATTTTATTTCGTGAAATTGCAAGCAAGTGATCCTCGTCATAGGCTCTCATGCGATTTTGTAAGCTGAACTATAATAGATGTAGATACCTAATTATTTTCCATCCGAAATAAAGTTAGTGAAAATGAGAATATAATTGAAATGTAATTAGAGTTTGTCCCTCAATCATTTTTTAATTTAAGGAATCAGCTATATGTGTTATTGAAGAGATAAGTATTGTATTAATTTAAAAAAACCATTGAATATAATGTGATAGTTGATAATAAATGAAAATTTCCAAGAATTGACCTGTGGTAGAAGTCCATTATACAGGGTGTAACTGAATAAGTGTAAAACATTTGGGGAGGTGATCCCTCATCGAAAAAAATAGGATCTTTTATATAAAGAAATTTCATTGGATACATCCCCTCAAAGGAGTTACATAACATTTGTATAACAATTTTTTCCACAATCACTAAAGAAGTTACAATATTGAAATTGACCTGACGTTTTGTACTACCAAAAATAAACTTAGCCAGAAATTTATATGGTTTACCCCATGTTTGTAAGGGGTGGAAAACGCAACCCCTAAAATTGATTCCCATTGTAACTTTTTGTCTTATTATTCATTTATTTACGATAGCCTGTTTCATTCTTAACTGAAAATGTCTCTTGGGTTTTTTGCACAAAATGAACCAGTTCGAAGCAAAAAATTATTTTAGGAACAACTACAGAGATACATCGTCATAAATGCGAAAATACGAAACTAATCTATCTNGTGAAAAATAATTAAAAAAATTGAAGACTAGATTTTTTTTAAAGATTTAAATCAAGTTTCTTCACGACATTCCGATTGTTAGTATTCACAATCGTCTTAAGGTAATGACTGGACTATTTCTCCAAAGATGACATTTATACAGTGTGACCCATTTTTAAGAAAACCCTCACGCTATTGTCGAAACTAACCATCAAAAACAGTTTTCTCTTAACGTGTGGCTTGGAGTTATTGGGGATGATTCAACTGGGACTCATTTTCTACCTCCTCGATTAAATGGTGAGGCATATGTCAATTTTTTGGAGAAGTGCAACCAGTACTGCTGGAGGAAGTTCCTTTGGGCGTAAGAAAGGATATGTTTTTTATGCATGAAGGGGCCCCCACCCATTTTAGTCAAGTAACACGTCAGCATTTAACTGAAACATATGCAAATCAGTAGATAGGTCAAAGAGGACCACAGAACTGGCCCGCTCGATCCCCGGATCTCAATTCTCTCGATTTCTCTATTTGGGGTCGTTTACAGCATTTGGTTTATCGTACTCCTGTTCGCGATGTAGAGTCAAAGAGGCATTACATTACCTACCACGTGCATCTCGCGCAACCGCATACATACAATAGATAAACCAATAACAGACTGATTCACTGTGTACCACTGATCCACTGTTGACCACCCTATCCTTCACTACCGGTACTAGTAAATTTGGATACAAGTTCCCTCGAATATTTTCTACAGATAGGACGATTCGGAAAACGTTCATTGAAAATCCTTTCGGTCTCGTGAAACTTACGCGTCGCACCGTAAATATAAATCGCTTCAATGTTTTCTTCCAATGAACGATAATTGATCGTTTCATTGTTGATCGTTTGATCGTTGACGTGGTTCTAGAAATATCGATATTAATGTGTTTGTTATCAGGAAATTAATAAATGTTCCGCCATTTTGTAGTAGGTGAAGATATTGACTTCATATTCTAGGGTTGTGAAGTATTCCTCAGAAGCTTCAAAATCAAGTATTCGCGCATTCATTTCATTACTCTAAATTTAAATTTTTTGAGTTGGAGGGTCATTAAAGAAATTCACTGTATGTCGGTTTCAAGACAATTTCCAGAATGTCTATAAATACAAGTTAATACGAGTTCATAGCTGGTTATCTCAAATTCCGAGATATTTACCTAATTTTGACCAAGATCACTGGACCTCACTTTTGACAAACCATATATTTTCTCTTCCAGTTTGCGTATCACGACTGGCAAGTGAAACATTGTTACCCTGTTAATTTTTCGAGCATTCACAGTCTTTCGGGTTCTTCGACTCAACGCTTCATATTCAAACAAACCTGAAAGCCAAAACAACGACCTGGAAATGTATTCAAACCCCGTCTCATTCGTATGCATGAGAAATAAAGAACTGATTTCATAACCTTCCACCAAAGTTTTCCATTTCTTTGGTGTGTAACGGAAAAACTCCGAAGTGAAACAAACTGATTTTCCTTTTACATCAATTCAAAATGGATTTTCAATAGACTCCCTCCGACAGAGAATTTAATAACAATATGAGACGAATGCGTTTTACCTGTTACCTACTTTGAATTTGTTTGTGTTATGCGATACTTTTGGATGGCAATAGTTTGATCATAGTTAAAACAACTTCAATTATATTACTCACTATATTGATAGTGAAAAACAGTTTCAATATCAAGCTTTCATTCGCATATAGAGGATTTGACGTTTGTTTGAAACTAATTGACAATGTTTCATAGTGAATTTTACTAATTCAGACTTTCATTGTCAGATATTATCCGAAATATATGGAAAAACAAATAAAACTAGAATGAAAATCAAAAATATCAATTATATCAAGNAACATCATTTTTGATACTGCACCAGTTTCATTGAATATTTTATTTATTTTATTTACCGTTCCGCAGCTAATACGAGGACGATCTGAATGTCTCTCATTGAATACTCTACAAACCTCTCTAGCACTTCTAACGTCATCTCCCGAAAGGCGTACAAGTTCAATTTTCTCTCTTACGCTCAATCTTGCAGCCATGACACAAAATAATTCGAAGAACTGTAAGGTGAATATTGTTGACAATTGTACACTTAAATCTTTCACAAGTGTGAAACTGTAATATCATTTCCATGACAACTAAGATTCAAATTGAAATATTAGGTCTTAGTTTCATTTAATTTGCGCGAAAACTTGAATGTAATTCCGTTATTTTCGTTAAAAATATTTACGCTATTTGTTTTTTTTTTCATCTGGCGGCACTTTATTGTTGAAATCATAAAAAAAATATTCTCATGGCTACATCTGTTGATATAGGGTGTGTTTTGTAACTGTTAACTGTGTGAGCTTTCGAATTTTTGAGTTGTCATAACTTTGTTAATAATGAATATTTTTTCATGAAAGTTTGGTCACACCTGCTTAGAGGCACTCTGAATCCAGTGGCGTAGTGATTTTTTCAATAAAAAACTCGCCAATAAAAAATCCCGAATTTCGACTAAGAAAAAATATCATAGTATTCCCTGAAACTTCAATGAACATTTCAAATTTTGTCCCAAGGTAGACCTTTTAGTACTTGACATTTCAAAAAAAAATTATTGAAATCGGTTCTCAACTTCAAATTTTAGGGGGGTGTTTTCATTAAAAATGGGTCACACTGTAGATCATTCGAGCGCTTTCACCTTGCCCCTCTAGTCACTTTGTCCTTTCAACGGGAATTGACCAATTCTTGGAATCACATTCCGCGTTTCGTGGCCTCGTTTCCGTGAGGCTGCTACGGATGGTGTTCCCGGATCTGAATCAGGTTTGATAATAATAATAATAATCTCCATCAATACCTCTAAGAATGGTAATACGTTGTTGACTTCCTTCTCCATGATGAAGGTGGTGGAAGATTTCACGCTATTGAGGTACTTCAGAGAGGAGTCCGGTTCTGTTATCCCATGGTTCCATACTATGAAGGTGTCATCAACAACCCGACTCGGGGCTTCTTGTGGTCCTCTTCAATGGCCAGAGTCTCAAATCACTCCATATGTATGTTGGCTATAACTGGTGAAAGTGGCAATTCCCTTGACAGGGGAATTACGACCTTGCGTAAAGAATTTTATTTTTCCAATTTTTTTATTGTATTTTTGATTTTTTGTTCATTTTTCAGAATAATCAAATTGTATAAATAGATCACCAACACCGATTATTTGGCACCAGCCAATAAGAGCGTAGCAATTTGTTCGGTTTGTTCGGTTGGTCACACGTACGACAGAGAATCGAGCAGCGTTATCGCAGTTTGGAAGATAACGATTGGAGCGCGCTTGGAATAATATGAAAACAATAATATACAAGGTGTATGTGGTGTTAAAGGAAAAAAGTCTATATATGTGTAACTGCCACATACTTGACCAACTGCGCTTAGCGAAACTGATACACAGTACGCCGAACCAAGCCATATTGCGCTAAGCGCAGTTGGTCAAGTATGTGGCGGTTACGCAAATATAGATTTGTTCAAATGAAAATAATTTATGACGCATCCCTGTATACTCCACTCAATGCCCGTTACATTGCCGCCATGTTTTTTTCTTGAACGCTGGCAGCCATGTTTTTCTTCTTCGACACCACACACACTTTGTTATATTATTGTTTTAATATCATTCCAAGCACGCTCGAATCGTTATCTTTCAAACTGCGATAACGATGCTCGATTCTCTGTCGTACGCGTGATCAACCGAACAAACTGGCCATGTGACGAATTGCTACGCTCTCATTGGCTGGTGTCACAGAATCGGTGTTGGTGATCTACTTGTATAGTACATTAAATCAAGTTTCGAATTGAATTTCGTTGAATATCTGCTCAACAGAAAAGAATTGAATTTACTGTCGTATAATTCCAAAGGTACCGAAAAGCTCATTTCAATATTCATGACCAAGCTTGAATTTAATTTCACAAACGCCAATGGAACACGGTAGGACTAATTATTATCGTGTAAATGCCGAATGCAATTATATTCTTTGATGAAACTCGCGAGAAATTGATTATGTTCCTGAAATAATTACTAACAATTTGTTTTTATCAGATCTATGTATGAATTAATTTACATTTACAAACCATTATTGGTGTACAAATATGAATTGTGTTAATGACTGGAGTTTGTTTCAGAAATATGCACAAAGACCATTGCCATGGAGTTCCAGGGCTTTGCGAGGCAATGAAACCGACGAATGGAACTGAGCTGCTGAAATATTTGAGAAAAGTTGATTTTCAAGGTGAGTTTTTCATCGTCTGTCGAATAATTAATTATGTGACAGTTGTGTGAAAACTATTTTCCGGGTATTTCTGACCGTACAGATTTCTATGACTTAATTTTCGTTTACTAATGCGGTAGACAGTACCAGGTCGGGTTGACGTGTGTGCTTTGCTCCACTCACTCGATCGACCGCTGTGTGAATCGGTGGTTCAAGCCGCAGGCCGAACGATAGATTTTCACTGACTTTCGTCCAACCCTTGTTAGGTTAGGTTAGGTAAGGTCAAAAGTTAGTGAGTCTATCCGACCCTCCACCGCAACCCGCAACGGATTATTGTGGCTCACAACTATTTATACTCGACCAGCTCCTTAAAAACAGCCTACACACATGAGAATCTGGTTCGTTAAACTTGGTTCGTTATTTGTGTGTTTTTACGAACTGAAATCGCGACAAATTTTCACGAATTTGATTCTCCATCGGGTTGGAAAACATTTGTTCGATTCACCGGCAAGGCGCACCAAGTTCGTCTGTGTGTGGAGGAGGGGAACCGTTGTTCGCCGTTTTCTCCGGTGCTTGTGGTGATGTGGAGCACGAAAAATCAAGGTCCTCCAAGTTTCTCCCAGTAGCTAGGTAGCGAAGTAAAAAAACGAGGCGATGTTTGGCCGATATCGACTTTTTCATGTGAGTTGTTATGATATCTATGAGGTGAGACCACCTCTCTCACGAAGCCATTGCTTGGTTCATTGCGATCTTTGTTTTTTCTTTCTGTAAAATCCCCAAACTCATATAATACAACAACAAACTCCAATTTTCGAATTACTCATTCCAACTCGATCCCCTGATCTCCATCCTTTCGATTTCTCTATTTGGGGCCATTAACAGCATTTAATTTATCGTACTCCTGTTCGCGATGTAGAGGACTTGAGAAACCGCATCATCGATGCGTGCAGGGTAATCAGAGAGACTCCAGGAATATTTGAGCGTCGGCTCAATGCGCCGACGTCTAGATGCATGTGTAATGTCTGAAGGTAGACATATTGAACATTTACTATAATAATGTATAATGTATAATGTATAAATTCAGATTGGGTACAGTGCAATTATATAGTACAATATTTGCAAACAATAAATTTCCATTCCGAGTGGGGCGACATTACCTAAGAATGTGATATGCTTGTGCTGCTTTGTCAACCCACCTCGAAGTGGGTTGACTAAATAATACATGTAAAATCACTTTTAATATAGAGGGTGTACAACTAAGTACAATAATAAACTAATACTTATTCACTGAGATGTTAAAAAAAGAAAAAAAAGTAGCAAAATAGAGAAAAATAATAAAATTACATAAAGGAATGGAGTTGAGAGAGAGAGAGAGTGAGGGAAATAGAGACTGGAGTCTTTCTTATGAATTGAGTGGGGAGATCAGATAATGCAAATTATATTTGGGTTTTCACGTATACAATTTTTTACCGCTTTTTTGAACAGATGTGGTTTTTCTATAACCTTGATTTCCATGGGTAACGCATTGAAAAATTTAGCACCAAAATAAAAAATACATCTTTGTGTATGAGTTTTATTGAACTTTGGGATGCTGATGAATAGATTTTCCACCGATCTGGTTTGCCTTTGTATTTCATTGTTATATATTTTAGTGAAAGTAAAGTTATGTTTATTTGAATGCATCCATAGGAGACAGTTATAAATATATAAACTACGGGTATTCATTAATCCATTTTCTTGATACAATTTTTCTGTTGAGAAAATTTTAGGTTTCTTGAATAATATTTTTAGGACAGTATTCTGGGTTGTTTGTAGAAAGGGTAAGCTTTTTAGTTTTCCCCAATAAGTTACTGCGTAAATTCAAAGTATTTTTCATAAAGAAAGGTGTACTATTCATCAGTAACATGTCGTATCCAATAATTCTGAGTATCATAAAATGAGCTGAAAAATTATAAACATTCTTATTTTGATTTTGCAGAATTGGAAAAAATCTAATGATACTTGCAGTTTTTTCTTTGGTTCGCTATTTTCAAACGGGCTCTACACATGTCAAAGTAGTTTTGAAATGTGAAATATATCGGATCTCTGGAAGGTGAAAGTACCAAAAAGGTTTTCCCAAAAAAAAATAAATTATGATTGTGTTTCAACACTATCACTGTGGTTGAAAACATTAACACTGAGTCCAAAAACAAGCACTTTTCCCAATCACCGGAAATGCAATACTCTTCTCGGCACACGTTTTAGCAACCAATTTGGCAGCTTCAGGAGATGAGGAAAACTTCATCTCTAGAAAAGTATTCCATTTATGATAATTGGAAAAAAGTGCTAATTTTGGATTTTTTCTAGCCCAGAGAAAGTGGATAATCTTAACGATTGGAGAAATGTACAATAAAATGGATTAACAGGGTCTCTCAGTCAAAATATCAAATATATATAAAATAACTATAAATATATATAGTTATTCTTATATAATCAGAAATGATTATTGAGCAACGAAATTAGTTAGCGCCCTAACTATATCATTAAACGGGAGCTGCTGGAAGGTATATAGGTTGCACTTATTTCGTTTACTTGAACTATATTATTCCTTTTATATACATTTGCCAAGCGGAGCAATAATATGTAGTATTTAACAAAGAATATTTAAAAAAAATAGATAAAATGAAAATCATAAAATGAGGTAGATGTGACTCCTCCAAAGAGTGTCCTGCACTTATCTTTGCGGTCTTTCTTTAGCTTTCTATCTACAGGGTGTTTATTAAAGATGCGGCAAACATTTAATGGACTGTTCTAAGGATATTTTGTCTTTTGATGATTTTTGATAGGGCGCTTTGTTTCGAAAATATGGAGCGAAAGAGAATTTCAACAATAACAATTTATTACTAAATATTACATGTAATGTTTCTTAATCTACAAGAACTGTTGAAAATTACTACCCCCCCCCTCTGATGCAAGAATCCAATCTTCTCCTCATCGACTCCCGTCCCGAACATCAGTATTGTTTCTGATTGCGTTACACCCAGCAATGCTCCTGTTTCACGAAATCATATTGATATACATTTTGGAAGGTTTTTCTATTAGGTACATTACGATTAGGAAATTGTTCACTGTTCCTTAGACAATGCCCTAGATTCCATAAATTAAGTCCATAAATGAAATTCATGACTACATGTATACGTGTTCTCTGCTTTCTACTGTGTCTGCTAGAATTTCATGAAGCATTGAATGACAGTGTTGATAAATTACGGTAGACTATTACCAACAGCAAACAGAAATATTGCTGTCTTGACTTTGAAATTGAAATGCTTTAAATATATGATCAAACCTTGGCTTTGTTTAAGTTATAATAATAATAATCGGCTTTATTCATCGAATAATTACAAATTAAACACAGTGTAACAATCGATGAAAGGCGAAGTTCAGCTTATGCTGTTTTTCAACTTAACCTGTTTTTCAACTACTCTTTTAATCCTAAATTAGTTTTCATTACAACTTTGACTCGATTTTTTCGTGAAGAATAACTAAACTTGATGTCACTGCATGCACAAAACTCACATTGAGGGAGACTGATGATTTAAACTTAATTCAAATAGAGAACAAGTGATGATCAACAAATTATCACCAATTCAACTGAAAAATAAATATTATAACAGCAACAAAAATACATACCTGTAATGACTACCAAAATAAATAATGTACCTATTGTTTCTAGTTCACAACATCGACACAAGAGGAAGTATCGCTTATTTTGAATTCCCTATAATGCCCGGAATTATTTACGATTCTCTTCTCTATTCCAAAGTATTTCTCATAATTATTATGTTCTATTGATTGTCAATATTTTTTTCATAAACTTCTCAAAACATATGTGGTTAATGATTTCGGTATTTATATTGAGATTTTAAAGTTCATACTAGGATAGGAAAAATTTTATATTGGTTTCTTTGTAAATAATTATGGAATTCTTTAGTTTTCAAGGCCATGGAGAGGTGGGATATCCTCGTTTTCCAAAATTGTACACTTTTGATTTTAACAGACATAGGCGGTTTATTTATACATTGTATTAAGAATGCTACTATTCTTTGCCACGAACTTTTCTCTCTCTTTATATGTAGCTCTAGATCTATAATTTTAGTAATATTTTTATACTACTATTCTGCGGTTTTCGCAGCGGACCGTAACTTTATTTGAAGAGATAGACCCCGTAGTTTCTTTGGATCAGCATAAATATTTTTTTGAAAATCCCTTCACCCACAGTGTCCATCTGTCCGTCTGGCTGTTATGGTTCTGGGATCTTTTTTTCAATTTTTTCGCGAACTAGAAAAGATATCGAATTGAAATTTCCATCATCGATTGAGTTAGCGGAGATTCAGATTGCATTGTATTAAGAGGGAAATCGGAAAATGGGAAACCGACGAGAAACAATTTGAAACTAAAACTTGGAAACATTGAAAAGATTTTCAGGACTTTTTCAGTTCCCATTGAAAAGCTGAATAAAACCTTTCATTAAGATTTTGCCGTAAACAAAACCGTGAAACGCGGCTTCACTGCTTGCTCGTAAATTTGACGTGAAAGCTTTCAGACTGCATTGAGCTCATTTTTCTTATGAAATGGAAAACCACAAATGAATAGGGCAGCACCGCTTCTGCGACAAAATAGCATTATTTTCTTATGCGGTAGAGCAGAAAATTGCAGAACACCCACCTGGAGATGGTGTGGCGTGTGCAAGAGTGAGACGAACGGTATTATCACAATAGAATATGTTGATTTTTATTATGGTATTATATTTTTGTATGAGTGAGAAGGCGAGTTGCAGAAAAAAGACAAACATTGTGGCGATGCGTTTCACGCATTTGTTACTGTTACTCTAAGTTCTCTCCTAATGCTCTAATGGGATGCTAAACCTTCTCTTTCGAGCAGCTTTGCTCATTTCGATTTTCAAATTTCGATGCCTGTCAGTGGTGTTTCATGTACGGTTTGTTGCGGGCGTTGCTGTATTAATCGCGTTTTTAGTTAAAATATCATAATTTTTATGTATATTTCGATTACTCCGACTAAAATTATAATTTTATCCTCAGAGATCCCGTTCCATCATTCCCTGTCTACTCTTCTCTCTCTTAATACCCTTCATATATATTGGCCTTATACTTTCCACTTGTGATACACTGTTTGAAACCTTTGGTGTAGTAATGAATAGGTATTACTGAAGTTTTTTCCTAACACCAAACCGTTATTTTATTAACACCTCGACACGTGTTTCGATCACCAAGTGATCAAACTGATCTTCCTCTTGACAGAAAGTGTCTCGTATATAATCACAAGAAATATTATTCAAAACCAAAAACATGTCTAATATTCACTATATTTTAATACAAAACCCAGATAAAAAAAGCTGATAGTTCCGTGTAAAAATTAAATTTCCCTCCAAATCTAAGTGAGTTGATTGTTCATAAAATAAAGTTATCTAACATATTACGGCAATCCACTCACAGAGGCACTAAGCCACACCAATTTTACATTTGCACAACGGTTGTTGTTTCATCTATCAATATGTGTACGAAGTTGGAGCAATCTCATTTCTCGCGTCAAGAGATTTTGACAAAACAAAACCGAATAGGCAAAACACCAGGTTTTGTATCATAGGAATTATATATATAGTATATATCTATGGTTTCTATGCATTTTTTTTAATGTCAATCTTTTCATCTTCTGACTTTTGACTTGACCCCACTTGCCACTTCCACCTTCAACTGATCAACAGTGATCAGTATTGTTTACTATTCTGTGTAGATATAACATTGAGAGACTGCGATAGAGGTATTATTGGAAGAGACAAACTGAAATAATCGCAACCTATAAAAAATGTATTTATAAATTTTCTTCCAGAATCTTAACACTTCACATGGGGTCAGTACAATATTAGGTAACAATTTTTGAAATTTATTACAGAATTATGCACCTAGTAGTTATTTTGAATCCATGCATAACTATTTTTTGAAGGAGATGTTCATTTTCTCAAGTCAGCAATAATGGGAGACCCAAAACAATTCGGGAGCTGGCAGAAAATTTCAGATTTAGGGTCAGGTGCATTTGGAGTCGTATCCTTATGGAAAAATAATGAAAATGATGATCTTATAGGTATGTATTAGGGTACTGTAATCCATCTTAAATTCTGGATAAGAGGTACAATATATATATTACAAGTACATATAATTATGCCACTGAATTGTATCTCGAGACTTATGACTAGTGCACAAATCCACTTACACTTCAAATTAAGTGGAAGATTTTTCATTGACTCCAGAGAGATGGGCAAAAATTCTCAATCTACACAAAAGTTTTGTAAATTCTGATGTATTGTATTTCAGGAATCATCTACTGGCTAACTTTTATAAAAAGTTCTGCATTGTTTCAAACCTAGATAACACGTATCAAATTCAGAAAAACCTTACATGATTGAAGAATAATAAAAAATTAGCAAGAGAAAACTACCCTCAAATTTTCAAATACAGGAAAATTTCATTTAAAAATGAATTAATGGCCTTCTAGCCTCTGGTTAAATCGAGAGGACTAACTGAATTGAATTTTTCAAGTCAATCTGAGGTATAACAAGAGTTATTTTATTTTTTTATCAATAAGAAACTATTTCTGCTATTTTCAAAATTGAAGTTATGAAACGTGGCAATAAAAGTGAATAAAGTTATTCGTTTTTGTTAAATCTTTCTCTTGATTTTTTGGCACTTTATTATCAACTTGTAGGTTGTTCAGTGAGAGCCAAATGCTTTCAGAGCCGCTTGGCTATTAGGAAATATTCTTAATGATTTATGTGAAGTTTGTTTCTGCTAATGTCCTAGGTCTGCAACTGTATGCATCTGTCCTTGTACACTGTTTGCTGGTATCATCATACATATTCAATGGGTTTATTTGTGCCCGAAGGCCCAAAACTTTTCACAGATCCTTCCACAAGTCCTCCATGAAAATCTGGCGGTTTTGTGTATAATCTTTTATAACCTTGGTTGTTTAAAAAAATCAAAGAGAATAAAATAAAACAAGGCTACACAGTTGCAAACGGTTACTCAGTTTTTACGAGGGAGCTATGGGTCGTGAGTTGGACGAAAAAATATTACAATCTTCATAAATCACTTTCGTACATTTCATGTATAAAATATAGGCATTTTACATATGTATAATGTAATTTACAACCACTGTAGTGATGTAAAGCAGTAGTCCTCTACTGCGTCTCTCTCTATGTCTGTTTACGATAAACTCAATTACTCAACAGATTTTCATGCTTATTCCACCAATAGACAAAGTGATTCATAAGGAACAATTATTTGTGTAATTCATTAAGGTTTCGTTTCAGTTTTCTGAGATATGATGATATATCAAATCATCTGAAAGATCAATTTGTTCAGGCCAGTCTCAACTCCCTACACTGTAGGTTAATGGACTGAGACCTATCAGAAAACAATTACTTCCTTGGATAATACCACGAAGGGCATTGGATTATATCCGACAAGTGTCAGTGCAGGATTCTTCACTGAAGTCATTTCTGCATATGCTGTTGGTGATAAAACTGCCGCAATAGATTTTCAATTAATAAAACACACTTGCAGATCGGTTTCGGGCTGTTTGGTCACTCGTCAATGCAAGTGCAAGGTAGTGTCTATCGTCAACATGAATTCGATGATTTCCGATAATTGAAAATCGAATTTCTTCAGAGTATCATTCCTCGAACTAGGCTGAAGCGGCTCAGCACCTGTTTGGAATTTTGATAACGAAAACACACGCATTTTTCGCAAAAGTTTACGAATTTGTAGCCCAAAAACTAACCTCTCCTAAAAATATACCCCTTGCAAATTTAAGGAAATGATTGTATTCATTTTCAGTTTCCTCGAAAACTTTTCAGAATGGTCCTGCCATAGATTTATACTGTTAACTCAAACACAGACTTGCTTCTTCAGACATTGTTCAATCATAACTAGGTAGGAACGCATGACCCTATTCAATGGCTCCCCAGGTCTCTAACATCATATTTTTTCTGTGAAGTTTTCTGATGTATGTTTTGATATTTTCAGCTATAAAAAAATGCAAATTTCAAACACACATAAATCTCACTCCAAAACAAAAAGAAAGGTGGCACAATGAAGTGGACATAATGAAAATCATAAACCATCCTAATGTAATAAAATATAAGAAAATCCCTCTGGACCTGGAAAGTGCATTATTGAAACACAATCCTACAAAATTACCTCTTCTTCCTATGGAATACTGTCGTAAAGGAAACCTCAGGCATGTCCTTTGTAAATCAAAAAATATATCTGGTTTAGAAGAACAAGATGTACGCTATATCTTGGAAGATATTTCAAGCGGACTGCAGCATCTGCACAATCTTAAAATTACTCATAGAGATATAAAACCAGATAATATTGTTCTCCAGCATTGTGATGATCGAATAGGAAATACAGTTTATAAAATCATTGATCTTGGTTATGCTAAAGAATTGGGCGATACAGTTGTCAGTTTTGTTGGAACGCTTCACTATTTGGCCCCCGAAATTTTTGATACTATCAAATACAATAGTAGTGTTGATTATTGGTCAATGGGAATCCTAACATTTGAAATAATATGTGGAGTATTGCCATTTCTGTCACATCTACCACCATTTGAAAGGTAAGTCTCTAGCAAGTAGCCTATACTTTATGGAAAGCTTTGAAGATTTGTTGCTTATAATAGACAGCCATAAAGGTGTTATAATAGAATGTAGCGACCTCGACCAAAATTTTGCAGTTAGAAGTAGAAAGACCACCGACATAACCTTCCTTTTCACGTGTTTTGGCTTGGAACAAAAATTTACCGAATTTTGACATTGCAAGAATAATTAATGAGAACATAATAAATATAATACTTTATGAAATAAAAAGGGCAGTATGTGAACCCCATAAACAGGTTGTATAGATCTCTCAGATTACAGAGACCAATATCTCGAATGTAGAATAAATACCAAACAGATATACCTAACGTCTTCAGAAGAGAAGAAATTTTCATTAGAAAGTGAATCCTGGGCTGAGATTGGATTAGAGGAAGATTCTGAAAAAAAATTTCAGTACCTATTTTTAAACTTCATTCTTTCTTCAATTTGGCTTTTCCACTGGTACCCCTTAAATATATCAAAAGAGAAACTACCTTGGATTACATAGAGCTTAATTGAAGAGGATTGGTTGGTCAGAGATTAGCTGAAGAAAGACAAATGTAATTGAAGAAAAAAAAATCAACGGCCACACGAAGAGTTATCAATCAACTGAATAACAAAAGTTCAAAAACAAAACCTTCCTACATAACTACTAATGTGAAAAATATGGCTGATATTTTCGATAAAATTCTTAATAGACCTTATCGATGATACAACCTCGCCTAAATTTTAACCAAAACTAATTTGATGATGAAAAAAAATTTGAATTCAATATTTCTTTCTTCAGTAGATTGAATAGAAGTTCTTGATATTATAGCAGATGCGTGATGTTGTTTGATGAGGTTCCATGAAGCCTATTAAAATATAAAAGCTGTAATTATTGTTTCAGTACAAAAAAAAAATTGATAAAATACCGTGATTCACTGCTTTTACAAAAGCATATGGCATATGAGAAGGACTTGTTTTGTAGTAGATTTAGACCTATTTAATGGAAAGAACCCAGTAATTTCGAGTAGTGGAAAATGGANGTCTATCGGGAGTTGTACACTCCATCCTCTGATTTTATTTATTTTTATTATTCTTGTTATACTTTTGCTTATATTTTCAAAATGTGATTGTTATAACAGTATTATATATATTAGGATTCCTATATTAATAAATGCTCTCTCTTATAACATATGATACAGGAATCTTTATATGTAATATTCACTGTCTGGCTACATGCTAGTTTAAATCTCAAATTGTTTAGATTTCAAATTTTTTACATACTTTTTTTTAAATTTCATTGTGCTAGTGTTATTATTACACTCATAGATATGTATATTAGGTTTCCTATTTCAATAAAGATTATTATTATCATTATTATATTATTAGAATGGACACCAATATGTCTTGGCACAATCATGTCGCTGGAATTGCAAAGGCTGACTCTCAGAGGCTTGGAACACTGTTCCGAACCAGAAAACTGTACACACCTTAGCAACTTTTGATGTGTGATAAAGCTCAGATCAGACCTTCTTTAGAGTAATGTTCTCATGTATGGAGCTCTGCCCCCAAACATACACGGAAGTTGCTGAATTAAATCCAGAAAAGAGCCATCCGCCTGATTGGAGACATGAACATCACGTGCAATCTTCATAGCCCGGAACATCCAAGAAAGCTTGGAGATTTGTCTCTCTTCTATAGATACTTTCACGCGAGGTGGTCAAGTGACTTGGCACATTTGATTCCACCAAGAGCAGTACATATCAGAAATACGCAACGGACTGTAGCTGCTCATCGTTTTGAGGATCAACTCAGTACACCTCGAATTTCACTCTTTGAGAATTCCAGAGAACTGGAGAACTGCGTTTATGTGGAATAAACTTCCTGAGAACGTTTTTCCAAATGGATTTAATCTCCAGCGATTCAAATCCAATGTGAATCACTACTTTTGCACAGGCATTGCTCTGAGAGCGCCTTAAGGATTTTTTCTGCAGTGCTTGTGTTTTGTCCTTAAAAAAAGGAGGCAAATTTATTTTAAACACCATTTATAGTTTACATACAGTGTTGTTACCCTCAGTGTGAGGATGGATGCATCTATGAGTAACTAAAGTACTTGTGTTGCACTTTCCATCCACCACTATCTTATATCTACATGTATACATTTCGAATAATTAATTTACTAAATTGATGAATAATTGGGAATGATGAGTTTGCTGAACATCGTGTTTCTGTTTAGCCAAATAAGTCGAGAAGTTCGGTATTGAACATAATGAATGTTCTGATTGATTTTTGGAATGTATTGAGATTGGAAATATTTCTTATGCTGACTGGCAGAAGATTGAATAATTTTGGAAAAAACATCTCTGTGTGTGACTTTTATTAAATGCTGGTATGTACATCTGAATTTTTAGGATTCATATAATTCAATATAATAGTTCCAACACCAGTTTTATAATAGACAGATGTAAAGTTTGAAAATACTTTTCAAACTTGAGATTTCTTTTTCAACTTTAAATAATTTCAACACGCACATGGAAGATAGAGGTTTCTATCTGTACTCTGTACTCTCAAATAAGTTCTAAAGTGTACCAATAACTAGAATATTTGAAAGTGTTTACCTGAAGGTATATTTCATATCTTCTGCAGAAAAAATACTGACGGAACGGATTGTATAATTTTTCATTTTCCAAAATTTGAGTTATGGAGTTGCTTTTTCTGAGTTCGGACTACAAGTCCCTTGATAACTCCTGAGGGTTGCTTGTAACGATTGATTTTAACAGTTTTATATTTTAAGTAATGTACATGAAATGTTTAGATCTCAACGATATCTTCGTTGACATTGTAATTATTTTATATGTACATTAATTAATTAAAGAAATTATCAGATAGTACTGTGTTCTGTTTTTTCCAAAACTTTTCTTTGAAATCTTGTTTCGTTATTGTTTGAAGACCAAACAAAGCAGACAGATGATTGTTTAATAAACTGAATTTTAGCTTTCATCAAACCAACTTCCACATGAAAACACTTTTTTTAGGATAGAATAAAGAAAATATTTTTGTCTAGTTTCTACTGTGTTTATTTATTAGTTACGACTGGTTTCGGCTTATAAAGCCATTTTCAAGTAACTACCACAAATTGTCAAGTTGCGTCTTAAATAGTGTGGACAGGTATCTGCTCTAGGTACCTGACCTAACACGTTACCAATATTACAATATGTCACGATTACCAACTATTGGATGGATCCTAAAATTCCTAAATTCAAAAGGGGCGAGCTGCATAGATCTAGATGGTCGTTGAGCGTTATGAACTTGGGGTCCTTGTACAATTTATTTTCCTACGCTTCCAATGTTATATGTATGAAGAATTTTCATGTTTCCTTTATTTATTGTATGGTTTGTTTCTTTTAGATGTCCATATATGACTGATTTTTTATCTGATAATACATGTTCTCGATATCTTATGTCGAAGTTTCTCCCTGTCTGACCTGTATAAGCTGCTGGGCAGTCCCCACATTCTAGTCTATATATGCCCGATTTTTTCCATTTATCCCTTTTGGGTTTTGCGTGAATAACATGTTTCCTAAATTATTCTTATTAGAAAATGATGTGCTTATGTTGAGTTTTGAAAAATAGTTCTGTATATTTTCTGAGAACTTCCCTGAATAACTTATGCTAGCATATTTTTTACCTTCTTTACGTTCTTCCTGATTTAGGTATAGTTCCTTCATGATCAATTTATTGTTCTTATTGGAGATCAGTTTTTCAATTAAGTTGGCGGGAATATGGTTGTTATATGCTATCTGCTTTATGATCTTAATTTCTTCTTGAAAAACCTCCTCTGATGACGGTATCATAAATGCTCTATGTATCATAGATCTAAAGGCCGATAATTTGTGTGATAATGGACTGAAAGAATCCATCGGTATTGTACAGTCCGTGAAGGTGTTTTTTCTATAGATGTTGAACTGAAATTGTATCATTGCGTTTTGTTTTCTTTTTAGTGATGAATCAACATTTCTTTCTTTTTAGAAAATACCTTTTAGATATATTTGCCTTTTAGGTATTTTTTAATCATATTTTTGAACAGAAATTATGAATAATTAATATTTAGCAAAATAATAACAGTATATAGAGAGCATTGCTGAAACCCTTTATTAAATTCAAATTACAGAACTCATAAAAATGTATTTTTTGCAGGTTTTCAAAAATTAAAGAGAAAAAGTCCGAAGATATATGCATATACTTGAACTATTCTGGGCAAGTTACTAATTCTTCAGAAATCAAGAAGGAACACTTCATTTCAAAATGTCTTGAGCAACACCTTGAAATTTGGTTGAGGCATGTGTTAACATTCGATCCAAGTCAAAGATCTCAGAATTTTCCTGGTGACATTAAAGTATTCGATTATCTGAACTTTATCTTGAAAAAGAAAATTATAAACGTTTTTATCTTACGCAAGTTGGAATTTTATTCCTATGAAATAAATGAAGAAACACTAGTCAGCACTTTGAAAGACTGGATTTCCAGGGATATCAAGATACCAAAGGATGAATTGATTTTGTTGACCGAGAGAAATGTTTTTGGTCTTGATGATATGTTGATGAAAGATATCATGAAAGATGAAACCAACGTCTATGTGACTTGCAAAAATCTTTTAATGGCTGATACGATTACATACAATTTTCCAAAACTCATAAAGGAGGTTATGAAATCTGCTTTGAAATTCAATATGGGATATATTAAACAATTAAAGTCCCAAATGGTTTACTATATTAGTATGGAAAATAAAACTGCTCACTTTTTCCGGACTGGTTTTTATTTGTATGTGAATTATGTAACCCATTTAGTGGAGGTTGTGAAAAAGAAAGGGGAACTTACTTCAAAGGAATTTTCCAAACTAGTAACAAGAGTTGAGTGTTATAATAGCATTCGAAAAAATAATATTTGTGATATAGATTTAAGAAATAACATGGAATATAAAGACTGTTTAGGGTATTCTCGGAGGCTGGTAGCAAGTTTGGAGAGGACATTTTCTAATTTTGAAGGATTGGAGAAAAAAGTTCGAGTTATGATGAAACGACAAAAGGTCCTAGAAGAGTTTTTTCCTGAAGTCTCCAAAATAATAAACCTTTATGATTTGAAAGACCAGTAATTATTGATATTTTTTTTATTATACGGCAGTTTTCATTAACCTCACTTTTATTTCAGGTATCTAAAAATTTTAGGGCTGGTGGAGAAAACAGTTGACAGCAACAATAGGAGCAGTAATGATTCCAATAACAAGCAGTTGATTTCTAATATAACAAGTCTCATATCTGAAACAATCAGAGTGAAAAATACATTTTTCAGTAATAAAAAGTTTAAAGCATATTTGAGGTATGTGAAATGATTGATATTTTGTTTTCCTGAACAGTTAATAGAATTATCATCTTTAGATTTTGTAATTTTCAATTCTTTTTTAAGCAACTGAGCATAACCTGTAGGTATAGTTTTAGACAGTGTCGTAGAGAATTGATATCTATAGATGTTATTCTCGACTGAATATACTGTATCGTTCAGCAGTTAAATAAATGTTCTAGAACCTTGGGCTGATTTAATGCCTTCATTTTTATTTAATTTTATATGGTTCAGCAGCAAAATTTATTTTGAAATTACATATATTCGTATTTGTCATCCTAGGTTAGGTGTCGTTGAAACCTTTCAGTCAAAATTGTATTGGTAGTTCGGTACGGTTGGTTCAACTTTATAAAGAGAACGTGTTAGAAGAGAACTGAAAAACTATTTCAACAGAGCAGAGATCTCTACAAATTAGTACTGGGAACAAGATTGTTGAAATGGGTGCCAGGAAACATTGGGAGGAAAAACGTAATGAGCCCAGAAGGCTAGAGTATTTTCTGGATATTTGCAAGAAAAAATATGTCAGGTTGCTCCCAAACTGAAAGAAAAGACAAGACATTTTTCTAATACAAGTGGAAAATTCTTTCAATAGGCATATATTGATGAGCAGAATAAATTTATCCAAATTAGATACTCTAAAAGTACATACTATTCTACTACTGAACTGTGAATGTAAACTTTTCAAGAAATGGGTGTACCTTTCACTGACTTTGCACTGAGTTTCAGCAACGAGATGAATGATTGTCAGCAAATATTGATATTTCTTTGTAACTGTTACTCTTTTACATATGAATGGAGATCGCTCTCTTATTTTACTACTTTTACTTTGATACTAACCATATCATTACATTTTTTTTATGTAATTGGAAAATTTTGAACTAATTTGTTTTTGTTTCAGTATCATTGGCAATTTCTCAAAATATATTGAGAATTTGTTGAACTGGATTCGAGATTTTGACAGTCATCTTCAAGAATTATTAAAATCATTTGAACAGACTGAAGTCGTATATCGTGATATTCTCCTCAAAGCTGCCGAAAATACTAAAGTTGGTATGTTGCAAGTTTTAGAAGTAATCAGCTATGAAAATCATTTTTCATTGGTCACAGAATTTCTTAGGGTTTTTTTTTTAGTTCACAATACAAGGGTTACGTTTTATATTTTTACAAATGAAAATTAGAGGGAGATATGAAAAAATGAGGCATCATCATATCAGTAAAATTCACCTTTTAATACCCTGTAATCAGCGACAGCTCAGAAATTAACAGCTTACTTAGATGATAGGCGGTGTTTGGATAAAACAAGTTTGTGAAAAAATGAAATAACTTGAGAATGTTTTTATTGGATGATTTTATGCTTTCATGATAGGCCTAATTCAACAGGAATGTATAGATTCGGTTCAATTAACTTTTGATAATGAAGAGCCATCAGGAAAAACTGATTACAGTTGGTTTGTGGAATTTCATTGAGGTTGTGCGTTTGTCATTGATAAATCTTGTTGAGAGCAACCAAAAGATCAGTATGTGATACACCATAAAATATAATCGTCTCTTGGCATATAACAGACTGTAATATATTCAATATTGAGTGTACATTATCATTATTTTCGTTGCCATTTGTAGGGGTTAACAGAAAAACATATTTAACAGCCTTTTTTTTGCTTCACTTGCAACCACTTCTCTAAAGAATCAAAGAACAGTTAATGATAAATGGTTTGGAATTATTTTGTTTACCAAAACTCTTCTGAATCTTCAACAAAATTAGAAAAACAACCTGCAACTTAGCATCACTCTTCATTATGACATCAACTCCCACACACCACATGGAACAGTTGATTATTTGAAGGTGAAAAACATCAAATAGATGACTCAGTACTGCGATTCTCCTTATTGAACGGCTATTTCAAACAAAAAATGGGCTTATAATGATTTTCATCACCTCAAGATGCTATAGGATCCTCCAAATCCATGTTTTTAAGACAGAGAAAAAATGTTTTGAGAATCGGTGTGAACATATACAAAAGTTTGAAAGATAATGAAAGAAGTTTTTCTAAAAAATATTCTTTCTATTTTCTAAACAAACTTACATGGCGACATTTAATTTTCAGATTGTTCAAAATTTCAGTCTGGAATGTTGTTTTGTATGTCGTATATACTTGAATCTAACTGCTGCATTTTTTATCAATTTGAATATCGATGGAAATGTTTATTTGTTCGTCATCTGTCCTTTTGTGTAAGAGATTTGGGATTCTACCTCCCATATAACAAATTTCACCAATTTGCTTCTTTCATTTGCCAATCTTATGATTTTCTAAAGTGCCTTACCTTTACTTTTAACAGCTGCCTTTACTGTTGCTAAAGATCTGTCATCTAGTTTCCATCTGATAAGTTAATAGTTCCTATTTCTATCGTTTTCTTATTTTTTTTTTATACCAGTATATTATTGTTAGTATTGTAATGGTGTATATTCTTTCTTGATTGAAAATGCCTTTCCTTCAAGCTTGACTTTTATAAGTATAACTTAAGACTGTTGTGTAATTCAATTTCAAATTTCTATATGAATTGGTTGTACAAAAGAATAATTTAAGTAAATTAGATCAATTACCATACAGATCAAAATCCAATTATATCTTTACTTTTGAAGAAATAACACAATAAATTTGCATACTTTCTCAAAGTTCTGTTGACTCTAACTTTTTGTGCCCTTCTTATCTATTGGCGAATGATTTAACTAAAAACTTAGATGCAATGCAATGAAATATTGTTTATAGTTAAACAGTTGGCAAGCAAAGACAATTCAAATTAAAAAAAAAAAACTAATTGATATCGAAGACTCATGAAGTTTCATTGGAGCCAGTATTAATTCACCCGTTCCATTTCCAAGCTCCATATTTCTGTGAGCAAACATCATTATCCTTATATTGATAGGGGTATGTCCACCAGTGAGGATGACAGTGTTCCATGTAAGTGAAATTTTACCTGTTTTGTATAGTATATTGTGTAGCAATCGTGTGAATGATATCTGTTTCAATTTCATGACGAATGTTTGGAATACAAACGGAACAGAGAAAAGTGTTTTTTGTATAATTCAGTTTTGTTCTTATTAAAGTACTTGTATCGAGAAGGTTTTTTCTTCTAGTTTGTGTCTGAAAATTACTCCTTTGCATGATCTAAACATCTTTGTATATAGTTAATTTTCTGAAGTTGATTGATTTCTTCCTTTCTTTGGAAAATTCCTACATTTTTTCGTATAAAGATGGAGAAGTAGAAAGCCAAAATCATCATCCTCTTCCCACTTCCAATCATTTTGCGAGACTCGACATATTTCCTTTTGTAAATCTGGACTTTCTGTACAACAAACATTTTCCTCCTCACTACCGCAATGGAAAAATTTGTACCACTATTGTGTCATAGGTTCAGCTCTGATATAATTATTTCTAGAAGAGTTCTTTGGATTCGATCTACTTCCTTCTCTCTTTTGCCAATACTGGTTTAATTGTTTTCAAGGACATAAGTAATGATATTGAGTTTCTGGTATGTCCCATCTTCAGTGTGTTTGTCTCAAATTCACGTTTGAAATTTTTGTTTCCTAGTATAAACCCTAATTTGAGTCCTCATTTTTTAATGAATCTGGTCGACTTGTTTAAGATTCTTATCACCAAATCTGATCTTCCAAACCAAAACTATCTTCCATAATTGGAATAGAATCCCAAGTAAAGACTATCAATAAGACATTTGAAAAATACTTTGAATACTGAAATAATAATTTGTTGTATTGTACTATCTTGACGCCTGAAGATGCTATTGTATAGCGAAACGTGTGTCGAGGTTTTGTTTACTGTCAAGTGGAAATCTCACATGAAAGTGTTTTTTGAATATGTTATTTTAATCGAAGTTTCTTTTCAGAGAAAACTTACAATATTAGTTTGATTGAAGAAATTCGAGACTTGCCCATACCATATTTGATAAAAGAAAACCAAGATTTGCGCTTTAAGTAAGTATTCCATTCTTTGAATATATATTCAATTTATTACATACTTTGATTTTTTAAGGTTTGAGGACATCCTCTCCAAGAGCATTTTGGCCCATAAAATGTACGCTGAATCTGTGAAAACACAAACTTAACATAATATAATTATGTTAAATGAAATTCAATTACAATCTATTATAAATGTTATTTGTATATGAAATATATTTTATACAATAAAATTATGAAATATATTAGGGAAGTTTTATCCCTGCTGTTAACTATTATTTTATTATTCATGATATAAATATTTCTCATCTACATTAACCTTTCTTCACTTTTACTTTACTTATTATTATTATGTATTACAAGGAACATTTTTCAATATAGTTTAGGCAATTCATTAAAAATTCATTCAATTAAAGATGTTTAGAATTGTGTCAATGCTGTGATATGCAGGTTTTTATGCACAATGTTTTTTCTAAGACTGCAGTAAACATCAAAAGCACTTCATTTAGGTAATTTTTTCATGTTGAACGGTCAATTTGTTAACTCAACCAATATAGAAGGGATTTTTGATCTTTCATTTTTTACAATTTTTATTTTGATATTGTCGAATCCTAGAGATTTTTTGTTGTCACTTCAATTGTGGATTTTAGAAACAGTGTGTAGAAGGCTTGCAGATACTTTTATTGAATGAAGTATTTATCAAATGCTCCAAGCAAATAATTTTCAATTATTTCGCCATTAGGTAACATAAATTTTCTCTATGTCAATACAAAAAAACGTAAGTTATACCGTTGCTTGTTGGATAAGAAAGCAATTGTCTCATAACTCACTATCTTTGAGCAAATAAGCACAGATGTGCAAATTCACAACTTTAGAGTTGTTTCAATTATCTTAAGTCACATAATGTTCTCAAACGTACTCGTTGAACTGACACTTCATTTTGAAACTTATAGTTTGTACCGAGAATAAAAACATGAACAAGGAAAGAAAAAATGAGTGTTCTCCATCAGAAATTTGTAGTGTGGCGAAAAAATGAAAGAAGTTTCAAACTCAAATAGTTTCATCTCAAACAAATGTAAAAAGAAATTGATGGTTCTCCATGCCAATTGGAAGATTACCTAATTCTTACTCGAAAAATTTAAATAAATAATTAGTTCGGTAATTTATTGATTTTCTAGCCTTTTTTAAGTGAAAACTCTCTTAATATTATGAAGATTGTGTTTTTTTATTGAACTATGGCCAAATTTTTTTTTATTATCTAGTGTATTGTCATGAATATGAATTTTAAATATGATTAAATAAAATCAGTCAACTCTTCTGCTGTCTGAAGGCCATGGATTTTCGAAAAGAGACAAAACCAGACTTCATGACGATTACACAAAATGATTCAAGTTTTTTCAACATCGTTCTATTGCTTTTTTATGTGGATATATAAGATATGCAACAAAACTCTTGAAACGCTCCGAGAACGGTATCTGTACGATTTGAATAACTGTATTGTATCAATTCCACAAGGACGCCGTTCTCTAGGTGTACCAGTGTTAACCTTCTACTCCTACCATTCAAATGCTTGACATTATTGCTTGCGCTGGGTCTCACAGGCCTTTTCCTGAATTTGTATGTTTTGTGTATGTTTATTGGGAAAATCTCAGGGGACACATTCATATTGAATCTTTTTTTATGTAGATTTTGCCAGAAAACAATAGTTTAGTTGTTAATTTTGAAAACTGAAGCTTTTACAAGAAATTTTTACACGAAAATTGACTAAAAATCATTTCAGACAAACATCAATTCTTGATATACTTTCATAGAAATCAAATGACATCTGGGATACAGCATTTGTCCATGTGTCGAACATATGGATTTTGCACATTATCGGCAATGATATTTAGAATTAGGTACTGTCCATCTTGTAAAAAAACATTGTGTTTCAGTCGGGTCGTGATTATTATCTGCAACTATTTATATCCATTTGCTACCACCTGCCTTCTTTTTTGAACTCCTTTTGTCAAATGTGTTAGTTGTGCCTGACTATCTTTCGGTAATCATAGATGCAAGTCATTTTAATAGCTTTCTGTCCCCGAGTTTTTTTTGCTACATCATATTTAGTACAAAGTATGTCGACATTATTTTTTCCTAAACTGTCTCACCATCCTTCCCAATGAAAGCGATGGAATTCGAATCTGCTATGACTGGTCAACATCTTCATCAACATTTTCAAAATCTGAGTAGTCGTCAGAAGTGTCATCATGCAACTTCAACTTCATCAAAACGGCTCTGAAGACGTTCTTGTTCATACATAATCCTTATATTTATTGAAATATATTTTCTGCTTTCTGAAATGAATATGGAAATCGAATCAGCAAAAATACATTACAAGTCCAAAAACAAAACACAAGTACTCGCTTCGAAAGTCGCGTGATGTAGGAAAAGTGTCTCTAAAGGATGCATTTTACTTCAGAGGTACCAAATTCTGCTTATCATGAAAAATATATTAACAAATTTTTTGATGAATCGATTTATTTTTTAGTTGAAGTATGAGTATTCACCTGGTAGGAGGTTATTTTTGTGAATATTACTGCGAATGTGACAAAGCAAACCAAAGAAATTAAGACAGAAAGTATCTCTTGACTGAGCTTATATCAGCTTTAATGTGGCCTGGCAAAAGCCATGTTCAGATTTCGAAGTTATCACAATGTTTATCTTCTGGAATTGAAAATGGAGACTGTAGTTCCCATTCTGACCTGTTTTTAAGAGTTTTGTTCCAAAGACATCGAAATAGGAATAGCCACACTACATTGCCTAGCAGAATGAATTAGTTTTGACGTTAGTTCCCCACATAAGCGTTAACGGGTTGAGCGGTTCAAATGTATATATCTACTTTTTTATATGGACAGAACACAAGCACTACAGGCAACTCCTTAAGTCGCTCTTAGAGCGGTGCCTGTGCGAAAGCGATTCACATTGGATTTGAATCGCTGGAGATTATATCTATTTGGAGAAACGTTCTCAGAAAGTTTATTCCACATAAACGCAGTTCTCCATATAAAATAGTTATTAAACAGTTTACATCGAGGTGTACTGAGTAAACCCCAAAACGGTGAGATTTTTGTGGAATGAATAGTATTATTATATATTTTCAACCGCCGGTTGGGTCCTCTGTCGAAGTTTCGATACTATAATATGGTGTGCAGTTCGGTATCAATAACCAATGATCACTTCCAAACCGTAAGGGCCTGAGAATCATACGCCCCGAATAGACGCAATGAGCAAAACATGGCCTTCTGCATTTGTCCTGCCAAAATTTCTGATTTAGTGCAACAGTCTGGAATGAACTTGAAAATCAAGAGTAGGGAGGACATCATCCCACTAAGGGTTCTCCAATGTTCAGAACAACCTTTTTAACAGAATAGTCTCCATGGAGTGTGAGGAGTTCGTGGAGAAAATCTCGATATTTTATCCGTTTATCTCTCTTTTTCGGACGATAGGTGATAGGTACTCGTCTCTTTCAGAGCTGTATACTACATGACAAATATCGCCTTACTTCAATGGTCGAGGATAACTACGTTAGGCTTATTAGCTTATATCAATTTGCGAGTGAAGAATGACTAGTTCCAACATATTCAGAAGTTCTTGTTTTCCACAGCAGATTCAATCTTCCGATGAACATAAGGCAACGTCTGTGTCTCGTATCACAAAGTACCGGTCGTAAAACCTCTTCCTGAAGCTCCTATACAATTGAGGGCTCACCGGCATCAATAACCAGTGACCACTTCCTTCTGTATGAGGTTTCGAGAATCGTGTACCCTGTGAAAATATAATGAGCCAAGAACGATAACCTTTTGCATTCGTCCGACAAACCTTTCTGCTATATTTTAAAAAGAAAATCTCGATATTTAATTCGTTTTTCCTCCACTTTTCGGATGATTTTGGTCGCAAACGAATCTAAACACTCCAAGGTAAATTTCGTCTTAACTTGATGGTTGAAGAAGACTACTTATTAGGCTTATTATACTTCGTATCAGCCTGTAAATGGGTAACGAATAGTTTCAATAAATTTGATACTTCTAATTTCTCATAAGATATTTAATATCCGGCATGATGCAGCATCGCTGTCTCGTCAATACCGCAGGAGAAGATGGTAATAAATTACCATATTGTATATTATGTCGATAGATATAGGCTAAAATCGCATATGCTGGACATGCCGACAGTGAATGTGCATGAGAGTCTAAAGGGAATCTGGGATGGCCCTCACCCAGGTGTTATAAAGGTGTAGGGGCCCATCTCGTAACTAAGTTTTCCGAATTCAGACTATTTGACCTAGAAAAACCAAAAGGTCCAGTGCTATGCTGATAAGTTAATCTTGTATAGCCGTAGAAGTTAATTAATCTTTGAAGCTTCTCTGCCTTGGTCGCAGAAAAGGAGACCTGAACTGCTGAAGACTGCATTGACTTTAAAGGCTCCATTCAGTAATATTCCGTTATATACTCTCAAAAGTCCACGATCTCTCTGTTGCCAGGAAAGTATAACCGCAGAATTATTGATTTAAAATGTTAACGAAGGAGTAGTGTAAGGTCGTAAGTGGCAACTTTGTTATTCTCTGGTAGAGTTTTGCTAATACATACTTGTTGCGGAGAGAGTTTTTCACTGAGATTATATCTTGCCAGTGGCGTTGTATAACTTCGTTGTATAACTTCGAGGTCTCTTCGGCATCCAGATATTGCACGATGCTTTCCTCTACGTGCTGAATGCAGTCTCCATATCAATCGACGGAATCTTTGGAATAGAGTAATTGGAGGGGGATCGTCAAACCCAAGATCATTTTTGGAAGTATACCTGTAATATTGTCAACACTGTGAAACAAAACACCACTCTTATTGTTTGAAAAAAAACCGTTCATGGCATCTTAATCAATTAGTAAAGAAAATCCACAACAATCCGAAAATAGCAGTAGTAGTCTACATTCAGCCGATCCATGACGCCCCTGTCGTTTTCAGTGCCAATCCGGTCCTGTTGATTTGCACAGTCAATATTTGAATTTGGCGCCCAAAATCAACCGGCAGTTAACCGTTCCTATTTCCGATGACTCGCGAAAAAACTAAAAAACGATTCTTTTAGTTTGCTTTTGCTAGAATTAGGTCTTTTATTGGCGCGTGTTTTGGTAATTTTTTCAAAGTATCAAAAACAGTTATTATGGCAGAATCAATAGATGATTTATTTGAATGTTTCGAAGAACAAGATAACACAGAAAACTTCAGAACACCACAGGGGCCTCCTGTAAATGGTAAAAAAGTGGACAGGTTCGTGACAGAACATTTCTAACCTCAAAATACATCTTATAAATTTGTTTTTCACAAGCAGGGTTCTTGAGGAACATCCTAAAAGAAAGATCGAAGAAGATGGGGAAAATCGGCCTAAAAAAAGTAAATCTGATGACGTTGATGTGGACGATATCAAGTAAGTAGTAACTGTAGTTTTTTCCTGAGATTATACATTTTTTTCAGCTTTGAGGAACTTAAGAACCGCATAGTAGTTCATACCATTGATACATTAGATGCCTGTACACATGAAGTTGCTTGTCCTCCAGGTCAAGCCTATGTACCTTTAAAACCTTCCAAAAATGAACCAGCCAAAAAATACTCATTTACATTGGATCCTTTTCAGAAGGAGTCTATACTTTGTGTTGATAATAATCAATCAGTTTTAGTTTCTGCCCATACGTCTGCTGGGAAGACAGTTATTGCCGAGTAAGTTTGAGTATTTTGTGATTTATTTATTGGTGACAGCCTTTTGAAATTTTTGTTTTTGGTTTTAACTATTTACATAATTAAATTTTTCAGAAGTATTCTTCATAGATTTTTTTGAGTACAATATATGTGGCATGTAATCAGGCGATGAGATTTATTTCAGTAGGCCAAATTTGACTTTAATCTATTCATCTAGATTACAGGACTGTTAATGCCCACTTCTACATTTTAATGTGAACTCATGAATTTGAAATATCCAAGTCTTTATCAACTTTGATTACTGTAATATCCTTATTTAAGTTATTCATATTCAAACAACATTTACCATGATAGTAACTGCAAATTGCTGAATCGGTCAATAAGCCACCCTGTTTTCCAGAAGAATAGATGAAAATTTACTCATCACTCATCAACAAGTTTTTTACTGTAATATTTGGAATTGAACTTATTGGAGAAACTATATATAAACAAACTCCCCTTTGGAGATGTTGAAAGTAGCTATAATATTGCATATAGAATATATCTGCAGAATTGGGAGCCAAACTTTCAATAAATATGGGAAAAAGTATGAAAACTTTTTTGTCAATTCCGGCGGAATAAAAAGAGTTATCTTGCATTTTAAAGATTGGATTAGTTTCGGAAATATGTCAAATATTATATTAAATATCTGAATTGTGAACAAAAATTTATTTATTGAAAACATTGACATCTACTTGAAATTTTCAAGATAAACTTTATACTTTATATCTATAGCTGGAATAACTTGATTTGTATTTCGTTCTCAGGATCTTTATATTTGTTTTATTTGCATTTAGTTTCAATTTGTTTTATCTCAGAAATAACTCAAATTAATTCAGAATTTTATTAAATCCAATTAATATTTCGTCAACATGCCGTACTAGTATGTCATCAACAAATAGATTGAGAAAATCATAATCGCCCACAAAATTCATATCATTTGAATAAATAATAAATAGAAGAGGTCCCACAATGCTGCCTTGCAGTAAAATATTTTCCACATTTCTTTTACAATATCCCCATTTTTTTCAATAATATTTTTGAAGTAATTTTTTTCAATTTTTATTAAATTAACTGAACTATTTCTTGTCAATTCCTAATGATATAAATCATTTTTATCAGGTGATGAACTTTTTAAAAATTGTTTATAAGCTAATTTATGAATATACTGACCTGTTCCTTGATGGAAATTAATAAAAATATCTATGATAATAATTATACAATTTTCACAGTAATGTTTTTTAAGATGCGTTTCGCTACTTGGTAGCTTCATCAGTCAGAGTGGTACATCAAACTATTCTACAATGTTTTTATGTAATAATAGGTACATAATTACAAAACCTAATCAAATAAATTAATAATTCTGGCAAAACTGGTGGATTTTCAAAAAACAATTACAATATTATAATTTATGATTAATTCATAGATTTACTCGAGGAATTTATGTAACTGAAATATTCTGATGAAAGTGAATAGTTACAGTAAACTTACAGTACACGTCACAGCTGATGGTGAGGGATCGCGCGGGTATAGACTCCCCCAACTAAATTACTATTGGATTACGATAAACCCCTTACCGGCCAGTGTCGTACCTATAATTAGTTTTAATTAGGGTAGCAAATGGAACATGACTTCTTTGTAATTTCTTTTCATATTTTATTCAGTATTGTAGGTATTAGTACAGTTCATTAAAATATTATATAATGATACACTTATTCAAAAATAAACTTTAATCAGTCACTATCTGAATACAAATTTTCTTCACCTCCCCTGCTGCTTGTGCTGCTATCGTCATTTAAATTTATAATCACTGGATTTACCTCTGTTTCAACGTCTGAATGATTCATTTTTCCAATATTTCCGCTCTATATCTATTGTATGTCGGGAACTCTTTTGCCATTCCTCGGAAGTGATTTAATCAAACTCATGTTCTGCCAGTTTCCTCACATCTTCCAAATTGAAAGTTACATTCTTTTGGGACACGTTGTTTTTGACAGTAGCCCAAATGAGTTCAATGGGATTCAAATCTGGATGGTAGGTTGGAAGTCGCAAAACGTTATGTCCGTGTTCAAGCAAAGCCTCATTGAATTTGTATCTAATATTATGTTTTTTATTTACCTTGATCAACTCATATAATTCGGGTTTGAGCATGTTAGGGGTGAAGATAATGCTTTTTTCGTGCATCCACTTCACTATGTCAGCCTTCCTAGAATTTGTGTTGCGGCTGGATTAATTTGAATATTATGGTATGGAGCATTATCGGTCACGACTACCAAATTCACAGGTTAATTTGGGATTGACTTTTTTTTGTAACCATTCACCATTATTTTCAGAATTCATTTCTGAATGATAATCCCCTGATGTTGTGCCTGATTTAAGTATAAGCCCACAATTAGGTATAAAGCCCATGGACAATAATGGGTCTTGGTCCTTTCGCAATATTTTTAAATAATACTTTGGTTGATTCATCGTCCAGTTCTTGAAAGATGTATGTCCATTATGAAGGTATGTTTCACCAAGAAACAATTGGTCGCTGTTAGCTACGAAAATAATTGATTTTTTGTTAATACTTGATCCTCATTGTTCTAATGTCCATTTTCTCTATTAAAGTTTTTCTATTATTTTCAGTCCTTCTTCATTTGAAACCTATTTTGTGGATGTTTTGGAAGCAATAATTCCCAAAACGTCATTGATTTTATGTTGGAACTTTTTAACCGTCAAATGTTGGAATATTCATACTTGGGAATATCAGTTACTGGTGTTCTTCTAGGCATCTTCCTTTTTTGGGTGGAAAATTTTACTCCTCCTTTAATTGTAGAAATTTATTTCTCCCCTTCTTTAATAACTCTCTCAATTGTTCTTTTTCAAATACCTAATATAAAATAAAGATTTGTGTTGAAATAGTGTTATTTTTCAAATTTATTTAATGTTACCTGTAGTGAGAGATGTTTTATTGTTCACATTTGATAACATATCCGACTCACACACACTTTGAAAATGACTGGTTTTTTTTTAGGCGATGACATTTTTTTAGAAACAACACAAATTATTCAGACAATGCCAAACGCCAACAGCATTGAAGGACAAGTAATGATACGCCTCTCTACAGAGCATTTGTATGTCTTGCTAGAGCTGTAGTGGAGGTTACATTGAAAATGAGTTTGTACGCGTGGAAACGGGCTCGACATCAAGTTTGGCGAGCCCGCATCTTTTGCCAGCCCCCTTGTTTATATTGTACTAGTTGTTGCCCGCGGCTTCGCCCGCGTAGAATTTGGTAGTTGTAGTAGTAATTAGTACTATGATGTATGACTGTATGACTGCTGTTCCAATGTTTCGACAGAATCAGAATCAACGAACTTAGGCGTGCGCAGCGTTATAGAACAGTGCTTTCAAAAAATTGTTCTACAGCGCCATCTAGTGGCGAGTTACAGAAAAATTGATCTGCGGTGGCCATGTTTTGTGACCTAACCAAAGCCTTCGATTGTGTAGACCACATGCTGCTTCTTCGCAAGCTGGTAGTTTACGGATTTAGAGGATCGGCATTACTTTGGTTTGAGGCGTACCTTTCTCATCGGCGGCAGAATGTTCTATTAGATGGAATTTCATCAGAGGAACGCTTCATTGACAGTGGGGTTCCACAAGGTTCCGTTTTGTCAACCAACCAACAAACAAACATCCATTTTTATATATTACATTCATTATTTTTTGAAAATATTCCAATATATAAATTGGGAGGTTTTTCCATAATGTTTTTTATTTTAGATATGCAATAGCAGTGAGTCTGAAGAATAAACAAAGAGTAATATATACAACACCGATAAAAGCTTTGTCAAATCAAAAATATCGAGAATTTCTTGAGGAGTTCATAGACGTGGGATTAGTTACAGGTGATGTTACAATAAATCCAACTGCATCATGTTTAATCATGACAACAGAGGTAAATTATTTTTAATTGTTTCGAATTCAAATGCCTTTAAATAGTTTTAATAATTATAGAATTCACTCAAAACTTCAGTAAGATTTTTCTAACTAGTTTATAGCACACAATTATTTCACAGATAAAATTTATGTATACAATTATAAGTTTCTTGAAAATAATCTTATTAAGTATCCAAATTTCAGACCTACCGACATTATACAAAAATCTACAATGATAAATTTGAGTTGTGTCAAGTCACTAGCACATATATTTTAAAAGCTCCCCTTCGGGAGAGTAATTACTACGCTTAATGATTGAATAGAACTGGCCGATACTTGATGAAAATCCATATTAAAACTAATTAATACAGTTTATGGTATGATTTTTCACTATAAAATCATACAATAAGCTGTAATAATTAGTTTTACTACTCTTAAGTTGAACACTGTACCTTTTTTAAGATTTTTAATGGAGTTTTATCCCAACACCAAAATGTTGTATTTAACACCTCGACATGTGTTTCAATCACCAAGTGATCATCTTCAACAGGAAGATTAAACTGTTGAAGATGATCACTTGGTGATTGAAACACGTGTCGAGGTGTTAAAAATAACGGTTATATTTATTTCTACACCAAAGGTTCCAAACAGTTAATTATAAGTACCTTTTTTATACTTGTCGTTCTTGCTCTTTAGGTGCATGAAAAACTCTAGAGAAAAAAACCTACGGCCATCACCTTGACGAGTCTTCTCTAATCAGCATGGAAAAACAAATAATTGTTATTGGCGTAATCAGATTCTCCAATTTTCATTATGTCACAATTTTGTTTATATTTTATTGTTCACTTATCTTCCATAAATTCTAAATTTTGTTGTAATGAAAATGACAACACAATACTTCCCATGTTTGTACTCATATATTTTTTCCAATTCATTTTTCAGATTTTACGTAATATGCTTTACAGAGGTTCAGAAATAATGCGTGAGGTAGGATGGGTAATATTTGATGAGATTCATTATATGCGAGATAAAGAGAGAGGCGTTGTCTGGGAAGAGACATTGATTCTTTTGCCACATAATGTTCATTTCGTATTTTTATCAGCCACCATCCCAAACGCCAGGCAATTTGCGGAGTGGGTTGCACATTTGCATCAACAACCTTGTCACGTTGTTTATACTGATTATAGGCCTACGCCCTTGCAGCATTTCATTTATCCAGCTGGGGGAACTGGAATTCATATGGTTGTTGATGAATCGGTATGTATGTTTTTTAAATGAAGTTTGAGATTGAGAATGTTACGCTAATAATACTTTTGAATTTATCTCCATAATTTTAGTAATGAATATATTATAAAGATAATAAAAAACTTGTATATTTTTCAATGAGTGACAAATCTGGCAATGATTCTTGAGAATGAAGTGAGTAATAGTAATTTCTCTTTTTTTATGACTTCTGTTTTTATGAGGCTACTTTAAACTGTAATATCCCACTGAATACTCATTCAATTCAATCAAAATAAGCACCATTTCAATCAGTGTACTTTTGCCAACGTAACACAAGTTGAGTAATTGGGTCTGCATAAAAATTGCATGTTTGGGATTCGATGACGTCGACGAAGGCCGTTTTTGGCTGTTCCTGATTGAAGAAGTTTCCACCGGTGAGAAAATCATTGAAGTGCTGACCATCATACAGTATTGTTTTTTGGTGAAGTGTCTGGGTGGCTCATCCGGTGTCCCACCACTGTCTCGAACGTCTTCTGTTGTCATAGAGTATCCACTTTTTATCACATGTGATGATTCGATCCAAAAATGGATCGTTTTGGTCGCGAAAAAGCGAATGAAAACAGCCCTCAAAACGTGACAATTTCTATGGAGCTTTTTGACCTTTCCAGTACATTTTAAACAATCAAAACCGCATGGAAGCTGCCGCCCAATTTTTCCGCTATCCCACGCACAGTTTGTGATGTCTCAATTATAAGAAATGCTTGGGGTTTTGGACTTGCTGCATATAGGAAGAATACCAGTACTTTCAGATATATAATAATAATAATAATGATGATCGGAATCGGAAAATGAGGGGTTCATCTTGGCCTGTCAGAATGCTGTTTTTAATACCTAGTTTACCATATTCGCCTGATAGGTATAGAGGTTCCCGACACAGGGTGTAGGGCCTGAGAACCTAACATACATGCTGTCAGCATGTCTAGCATATGCGGTCTCAGCCTATATTCATCGACATAATACGGTCCTAAGAGTGCTTCATTAGCACCTACGGCACTTTTACGGTATTGACGAGACACTGGTGATGCCCTGTGCTCCGGGGGATATTGAATCCGTAGTGAGGAACGAGAAGTGCCCCATTAAAAATCTTAGCCAGACATATGCAGAAATCTGTCATTCTTGGCTTACTGTGCTTGCTTAGGGCACATGATTCTCTGAACCTATAATTACTTACCTCACAGTGTGGGGAGAAGTCATTGGTTGATATGCTGTCGTTTTCTTCCTAATGTATCCGGGCTTCGGGGGATAGGGCTCGACCAGCGCAACCTTGGGGAAACAATAATAATAAATATGCTTCGTTGTCCAAAGTTACTCTTATTGACAAAGCAAGTTTTTAGAATAGAGACAGTTAAATGTATGACAATACGAAATACAAAAAAGGATACACTACATAATCACACTTTTGTCTATTTTCCACGATATTTCTTTATTGTTGACTAGTTTCAGCTATTACACCATTTTCCAAATTAGCTGATTACATTTAAATCTGAGTAATTTCTACCTAAGTTGCCTATCCTATCATAAATAATTTGGTACCTTCATTTTGTATACCTGTAATATCCACGAACATAACAAAACAAAGCTTTTGATATAATGTAGGTTTTGGGAACTGAATTATAGATTCAGGAGAGGACTATTATTTAGATCAAGTTGTTCGTTGAGGACAATAGAATTGGGATTTTTCTTTGACTTGTTTATTTCCATAGATTCCAACAGATTCATCACTTTCCCTTTTTCGCATGTGTGAAGGATCTTTAAATTATCTTTATCTATTTTATGTTTCAAATTTTGAAGATGTTCGTACATTAATGATTTTTTTATCCGAAATGACACGTTCAAGGTACCTTGTATCAAAATTTCTATCAGTTTGGCCTGTATATATGGCGGGGCATTCACCACATTCTAGTCGATATATACCCCGCCAATGCCGTGAATGCCCCGCCATATATGTTGCTGAAAGCAACAGGTACTACCCTTAATTAAAGTTGATTTGGAAACGTAAATTTAAGGAGTGTTTTTGTAAATCATCAACTATTCAAAAAGGAAATGTATGAAAGTTCATTATTATCCCAAATTAAGATACACTGAGTTAGATCGGATTTTCAAAAAAAAATGAACATGCTGTTTTTACATTTCAACCAGTGTTAGGTCTGAAGACAAACTGAAAGTTTTGCATTTACGATACAAACTTGAAGACTGCATGTTGTTCACAGTAAATGAGCAATTGAAACTCATTTAAAAAGAACACCCACTGCATATTCATTCAAAAAGAAAAAACTTCTAGGTGTTAATCACCTTGAAGCGCTACGTCACACTAGACTTTTGGATGCTTCTGAAAGTTGAAAAGTATGACATGATAATTATGAACAGTGACAAAGGTATTCAAAATAGTATATTTCTCACTCTTTCATGAACCACTTCCTAAAAATTCAGCGAAAATATAGGAACTTAGGAAATCATTGATGTATGATCGAAAGTTGACTGTTGACCAGGGTTGACCTTGTTAGATATAAGTGGGCGAAGTTAGAATAGAGAATTAGTTTGGTTTATCTGCTGATGACGCTTACTTGATTGGTGAAACGTGTGATGAGATGAGTGTCCTAGTTTTTGTGAGTGGAAATTGTGTTTGTTATTCATTTTATGTAAGAACCGAGAATGTTCAGAAGAAAGAATGAATAAATGAATTCACATGAAAGATTAGGAGATTTGGAAACCTCTCAATATTTTTATTAATCCCTGTATTATACAGTTTTTTTCGGTATTTTAGGGCACCTTCAAAGATGACAGTTTCAATGCAGCCATGGCTGTATTACAAAATTCTGGTGATGCAGCAAAAGGGGACCAAAAAGGCAGACGAGGTGGTTTTTCCAACAAAGATCCCACACAGACGGACATTTTCAAAGTGGTTAAGATGATCATGGAGCGAAATTTCGCTCCTGTAATTGTTTTCAGTTTTAGTAAGAAGGACTGCGAGTTATATGCTATGCAGATGTCAAAATTGGACTTCAATACAAGTGAGAAACTTTTTTTTTCTTCAAACATTGAGAATCAGAATCATGTTGTGTGACTGACATTCTTATGCTAAAGTTGGCATTTATCTCCTATCAAATTCGAATGATCATCATCATGGTGACACCATTACTTTTAGTGTTGCTGGCAGTGAAAGCTGTCACTACCGTTGGCAGATTGATTCATCTCGAAAACACTCTCCAGTGTGTTTGAAGAAAAATATTTTATTTTATTACGAGTTTTGGGTAGCTCGCAGGGTGGACTGTACGGGTCTAGGCTCTGATTATCAATATGGCCAACCTAGTCCATGGGCAGATTACACAAAAAAATTCAAATATTCAACAAAAAAATAAAACGCACAAAATAAATAATAGTCAAGTGACACAGCTATAATTATTTTGTCTATTATCATATGAGTAAGCATACACATCTCTCCTTATGAAATCTCTACCTTGCTTAACAAGGGTCTCCACGGAGGTCTGTTGTTAGCGGGACATCAGCCTCCAAATAAAAAATCTCGTTTTTTTTACTGCAGCTCTCACTGCAAGAAGACAACAATTAAAAACCATAGCCCATTTGGCGATCATTGTTCAACCATGACTTTGCGACAGACCACCTTTCAGGTCCTTATTTATCTTATATTAGCAATGTTTGAGTTCCTGACCATTTTGAAGATGCCTTCTTCGTGAGGGCAGATTTGCCTGTCATCCTTTCTCATACTCAAGATTGTTCCTTAAGGAAAATCAAATCAAATCAAATTTATTCATCACCGAAGTCCATACAAATGTGTAAAAGACATATCATATAAACTCATTAGACTAGTCATAACAGAATCTACAAGCTACAAATTCAAAATAAGTATATATTAAAAGCCTATGAACAATAAAAGTTATAAAAATACAAACATAAAATAAGTATATATTGAAAAGAAGTATCGTCTGTTCATAAATAAAGTAACAATTGTTCAATCACAGAAAATTAAAATAACAGTACATTACTGATCATAATAATATAAGATAATATAATAATGCACATACAGTTACATCAAAAATTCATCTAAAGAATAAAATACGTTTCCTTCCAAGTATTTGTGAAGAGCGTTCCTGAAGCAGTTTAGATTTGACATTTTGTGAGTTGGACCAAACAGTTCCTTAAAACGATTAAAACACCTTGTACACTGATAAATATAACAGTTTTCCCAATCGATAGTCTGGAGAAAGGTTGACATATATTTTCACGCATTCTAGTTGAATATTTTTGAATAGAACTATTTGATAACATTGAAGCCTCTTGTTTTTTTATATTTACAGTTATATAAAGTGAAGGCAGTGTAAGAATTTGTAACTGTGAAAATAACTGTTTACATGAAGTCCTCGGATAAGCTCCCACCATGGACCTAATAATTTTTTTCTGCATGAGAAATATTTTATTGACATGAGTTGAATTGCCCCAAAACATCAGACCATATGTTACTTAGGGACTGGTTTGAACAACTTCATTCGTGTTTTGTTCAACATATTTATGTGAGTCAGCATTTTCCTACTTAAAACAAACAAAAAATAAACACCGTTCTCGCTTGAAAGACACTCATACATTGGATTCTTTAAGGTTGGCAATTTCCAACTACAGACCTGATTATGCTAAACTAGTGGAAGATACTGCGACGCAATGCTCACACTAATATATAGATAGGACCTATAAATGTTGATTAAACATCATCAACTCAGACTTTCTTTCCAAAGTATTAAGTAAATTTAAGGAAAGAATCTCATATGTGATACGAAAAGGAACTCCTAAGACTGTTCAATAAAAAATATTTTGTGGTTGTCTACTGAACACTATGCTGTTTCATTTAAGATTTTAAGAAGTATGTGAATGGTAGATCGCACAGGGTCTCGTTAGTAAACAGTAGATCTTATGTCTAATCAAGTTGGCCACCCCTGATCTAAAGAATAAAATACGTTTCCTTCCAAGTATTTGTAAAGAGCGTTCCTGAAGCAGTTTAGATTTGACATTTCGTGAGTTAGACCAAACAGTTCCTTAAAACGATTAAAACACCTTGTACACTGATAAATATAACAGTTTTCCCAATCGATAGTCTGGAGAAAGGTTGACATATATTTTCACGCATTCTAGTTGAATATTTTTGAATAGAACTATTTGATAACATTGAAGCCTCTTGTTTTTTTATATTTACAGTTATATAAAGTGAAGGCAGTGTAAGAATTTGTAACTGTGAAAATAACTGTTTACATGAAGTCCTCGGATAAGCTCCCACCATGGACCTAATAATTTTTTTCTGCATGAGAAATATTTTATTGACATGAGTTGAATTGCCCCAAAACATCAGACCATATGTTACTTAGGGACTGGGCAAGTCCATAATATGACAATTTTAATATTTCCAAAGACACTGTTCTTTGTAGATATCTAATTATAAAGCACATAGGCTTAATTTTCTCGCAAGAACATTGATGTGATTCTCCCATGTCATCTTATGGTCCATAATAATTCCAAGAAATTTGATAGAATTCACTTGTTCAATGTTTTTATTATTGATTTTCATCAGATAACTAACATTATTGTTCATATTTTGCGTTATAAATGTCATAAAAAAGTTTTAGATTTGAGTTGAGTCTAACATATAGACCACTGATGAGAACCATAGCAGATCGAAATAGAGCAATCCAGTGTTGGATTACAAGTGTTTTGTTTAGAAGTTCAGGTTAAATAACTCATTAAAACTTCCCTCTAGTATGACTGTTGATTAGTGTCAAGTATATGCCAAGCTTGTTGCAATACTACTATAATTTTTCACAGACTTGCCAGCTTTTGCTTGTTATTCTTGAATGAATGAATTTACTTTTTATCTAATCTTCTTATTCTATTTCTTTGTATGAACAGCATACATTTTTATCACTTTTCTAATTTGAAACCATTTTCTTGCCCGTAAAGAATAAATAATTAACTTATTCCTGAGCATTGAAAATGATATTGAAAAAAAACTTCAGAACAAATAGTCTTAAGTCATTTACCTGGGCCTAGGCCAGAAAAAAGGAGTTTTAAAACTGTTTTGAAAGTACATATTGCAAATCTAAAGCAATCAATCAATCAAATTTATTCATCAAAAAGCAAAATTACAAGGTAAAAAGTTGAAATGATGAGTACAAGTACAGACAGAGTAGACTTCAATTTAAATATTAAGGTAAAATATACAATTACACACATAGAATGACAGAATACACAATATATACTATACAATACAATATACTATACAATTATATACTAAAAAATTATTCCAAAGTACAGAATGCAGCCTCAATGAGTACTTTTCTCAGTGACTTCTTGAATCTAAAATAGGTAGGTTCGTCTGTGATATTTTGAGGAATTTCATTAAAAATTAGAATTTCGATGCTTAGAGGACTGTTTTGTGCTAGGTTCAATTTGTTTAGAGGAGTATTCAGCAAATGCTGATTCCTGGTGGAACGACCGTGAATGTCATTACGACAGAGCAAAGCATTTCTACGTTTGTAAATGTAACAAGCAGTTTTCAATATGTAAAGTGAAATAAGGGATAATACTTGTAGTTTTCTAAAGAGATCTACTAGATTCTGTTTGAAGTTTGCGAAACATGGCACGATTGCACTTTTTCTGTATGATGAAGAGACATTTGGCAGCAGTTGATTGTCCCTAGACCATGATTTTGTATGCCAGTCTCGACTGAATTTCTGAAAGATAGAACTGGAGTTGTCAGGACCTTATACTTACAGCGTATTTAAAATATTTTGGTGTTAGTAGATATGTGGGTTTCCCAACTCACTTTATCATTTATATTGAGACCTAAGAACTTAACAATGGTATTACGGTTCACATTAGTGTTGTTCAAGGTCAGGATGATATTTTCAATTTGTTTTTGTCTTGTATGGAAGCTAAGAAATTCAGTTTTTGCTGAGTGTATATATAGCTTATTTTTTGAAAACCATTTTGCAATTTTATACATCAAATCAATATCAGCTTGTTCAAATCAAGCTTGATACCAAACAGTTGTTGGACTACAGTAGAGACGAACTACGATGTCTAACAGGCCTTCTTACAGGTCACTGTCATTTGAAACTTCATATGCATAGACTCGTATATGCAAAAATTTGTTGAAGGTGACTTATCTGGCTTTTATAGATAGATAGGTAGACATATACTTTATTGTCCAAGAAAATACAATCTTATTGACAAAGCTTGTTAAAAAATCTGGTATATATAGCACTTCAAAGAATAAAAGAAAAGAAACAATTTAAAAACACAAATACCTAGAAACACAATTTGAGCAAAACTAATAGATAAAATATAACAATAAAATATAAAAAACAAATATACACAATTACATGTCCTGACAATAAAATAAGATATATCCCAGTATAAAATATAATTTAAAGTATAGGTGTCAATATAAACAACAAAAAAAACACCTATATTAAATCACAGCAAAGTTCCATTGTGATATTCTTCAAGATTGTAGTACGCTTTTGTTGCAAGGGCATCATTAACAAGATTTCTGAACTTTTTATAGCTTTTTCCTTCCTAACTTCGCAAGGTATGTGATTATACAGCTTTTTATTTTCATAAATCAAAGAATACTTCGTTCGGCTCTTTTTTGATTAGACGATTCATGTGTGACTGTTTAACATTCTTTGTTTTATGTATGCTCTCAAGGGTATTTTTCTTTGTATAACCTATATTATCATTTGTTCTGTTATCTCTACTACTCTTCCTCATATCTTTGACTTTCCGTAAACATGTATAGGTATTGAAAGAAATCGCTAAAATAAAATTATTATCGTATTGTAATTCTATTGTTTATACGTAGTGAGAACTTGAATTTCAAATATTTTTTCAGCTGCTGAAAAACAACTGGTCGATGAAGTATTCAACAATGCAATGGATGTTTTGAATGATGATGACAGACACTTGCCACAAGTTGAAAATCTTTTACCTTTGTTAAGACGTGGTATTGGTATACATCATGGCGGTTTACTACCTATTCTCAAAGAAACCATTGAAATATTATTCGGAGAGGGATTGATCAAGGCATTGTTTGCAACTGAAACATTTGCCATGGGTTTGAATATGCCTGCCAGAACAGTTCTCTTCACTGGGATGAGAAAATTTGATGGTAGTGAATATCGATGGGTAAGTTTACTTTAATTATCTTTGTTTCACATTTTTCTACTAACTAATTGTTTTTAGATCACTTCAGGTGAATACATTCAAATGTCTGGCAGAGCAGGAAGAAGAGGAATTGATGACAAAGGTTAGACTAAAACTTTAATGGTATCTTTTTATGCTTAAATCCAACCTAAATCAACATTTTTCAGGAA